CTAAAACCATTTTTTTTTATTATTATCTTGCCAATATTTTACTTTTTTGATTGTTCTTTTTTTCTACTTTTGTTGCAATTTTCAATGTTGCATCCTTCATCATTCAATAACTTTTACAATATCATGTGATTATATCTTTCTTAAAACCCACCAAAATCTTTATATATCTGAAATTTTAAAAATTATCAGTTATATTATTATATAGATTTACTTATAATATAATGAACAACTCATGAGTTGCATAATAAAATCTCACACCATGAAGTAAGTAACCAGATATTAAAAATGGATAGTAAAAGATTAAATTAATTGAAATTTTCTTATCTTTCTTAAAACCCACGGAAGTCTTTATATATCTGAAATTTTAAAAAAGAACAAAACTGATATATACATTTTTATATTTATTAACAATACGATGAATAACACCGGAGGTGCACATGGCATCAAATATTTTACAGCAAAAAAAAAAAAAAAAAAAAAGATATTATAAGCTGAAATTTACAGAGTATAATTTTTCATATAAAATAACCAAGAAAAAATTCCGAAAATCCGATGTCTAATCCCAGTTCTATCATGAAAAAAAGTTGAATTTGTTTATAAAATCTGAGATCGTGTAAAGAATTAGATTTTTCGTAATATTCCTTACTTTGGAAAACACAAACATTTCTCACTTTCAGATCTCCGTATATCTTGATAGCTAATACCTCATATATGCATACATTTTATGCCAACGCACTTCTTTCCTTGAAGAAATTTATCAAAACAACTATAGAAATTTTATTTACCAACCTGTATTTATACACTGAAGTAGATTGGGGAAAAATATAATATTGTTATGTTTTCAAATTTTGAATAAGAGTTCGCACTAAAATATTCTGAAAACTAACTGCGTAAAGTTTAAATTTAAAATTCTCTGCTTCGTGCGCATGCGTAGTCGCAACAGCGTAAACATTACTTAGTACAATAAAGTCCTAAAGGATGAAACGGGCAATACAAATTTTTTCCCACTTTGTTATAGTTTGTTATATTGTCTTTCTTTCGTCTTTGTTATAGCCTCTGAAATTCTTGATACATAAAGATATCGATTCAGGTAAACTACGGAGGACGCTAAGTGACGTAATTTTTCGTTTTATTAAACGAAATTAAATTGATATTTTTTGTTGCTATTGATATTAATTTATTAATAATTTTGATTATTATTTATCGAATTTTATGTATTTTTTAAAATTATGATCAAACATAAGTACGTTAGTTCGATTTTTATCGAGCTAACGTACTTATGTCTGATCATATTTCTTTTAGGAAAAAAAGATATTTTTAAAATTCAGATCGTAAGTTAATATTATTTAAGAATCAATAATTGCACTTTCAATACATTTTCGTACTTCGTAAGTTATTTTCTCTTTTAATAAGTACATTTTTTTTAGATCGAAATACGTTTGAAATTATTTCTCTCTAAAACTAAAATGGATAAAATGTTATGGTGGAGATATTTCTTCTGTTCATGAATACATTTATTTAATGCATAAATATGTTTATTTAATACTCTGCAAGTTTCGCCAATACATTATGAGTAAAATATGTTACAGTTTATTTTATATATGTTTTGTATATTCTCATATCGATAATAATTTTGAAAGTACTTGTAATTAATTTGATATTAGGACAATATGTATTAATTTGAATTGTAGATATTAAAGAGTTGGTATTTTCATCTAATTTATTATTATTATTATTATTATTATTATTATTATTATTATTATTATTATCTTTTCATTTTGGTTGTTGTAGGTTTTGGAGGCTTTTCTTTTAACATTGTGGATCAATTAGTAAGGATAGTGGACGTTTTTAAAATTATTTTGTATATATATTTCTTCTCCAGTTAAATACAGGGAACTTCAGATTTTTAGTGCGACTAAATAAACTCTCATAATTACTACGGGCCACAGCACAGTGGTAAGAATAATAATTTATACACACACACACATAACTATATATATAGACTCTCACACAACATACATACACCCCCACACACACAAACACGTACACACACACACATATATATATATATATATATATATATATATATATATATATATATATATATATATATATATATAGGTGGTAATCCGTTGGTATAATCCAAGTGTCCTATTAACACAGTATAGAATCTGAAATATTAAAAATGTTAAAAAATTTTTAAAATGCAAAATCCGCAGGTGAAAATGTTCATGAACTAATGATGTCTTAATTCCAATTGTACAATATATATATATATATATATATATATATATATATATATATGTGTGTGTGTGTGTGTGTGTGTGTGTGTGTGTGTGTGTATGTATGTATGTATGTATGTATGTATGTATGTATAAAAGATCTGGCACTAAAGTAATGGTTTGACTATCTTCCATGATATAAGAAATATGTTGATTTTATTGCTCTGTTTTTCATGAAGTCTTTTTTGTTGTTTCAATCCTTTTGGGGGGCGATAAAGTTTATTCTCACAGGTTTTGACGCACGTATTATTGTAGTGTTCACAAATCTATCTATCTTTATATATATATACACAAATATATATATATATATACAAAATATATATCTGTATATATATATATATATATATATATATAAAAGTACATGTATTTAGACAAATGTATATATATGCATATATGTATATATATGTGTGTGTGTGTGTGTGTGTGTGTGCATATTATATTATGTAATGTCTAGGGAAAACCACATTGCATAATTAATCATTTCCATACTCAAATAATAATAATAATATCATAAACTATATATGCAAATAAAAAAAAAAGTTTTTGATGATTTTACTAAATATTGACGCAGTGTTTTGTCATAGTGTTTTATAAACAGGAGTTGTGCATATTATCTGGAAAAGTAAGTAAATATTTTCACTACACGAGATATATATAAAAGAGACAAGAATGGTTTCTTTAAAAATCCTGAAAAAAATGTCCTTTTTTAATTATAAAATGTAGGGATATTTGGTTCATTCTTTATGTTCAAAACGTATATCCTAAAATTAAAGAAAAACACAATGTGGATATAATAATTAAAATTTATTTTGCTTCAGGTAAATAATAAAAATCCAACGAACAAATTTTGATCGGAATTATGTCTGTATTTGTGCGCATGCGTTAGATGCGTTCAAATATTTATAACATGATTTATTGGGAAAAAGTTTTTTTTTCTCTCCTCTGTATTGGATTTCCAGTTTCCAAAAGGAAAGTGCGGAAAACTTTTGTGTACACGTTATTCAGGAATTTTCTTCGGTGAATTGAAGACGTATGTATTACCTGTTGATCTCACTGTTTATTTCGAGAAAATAAGAAATTAGATACGAATAAGAATGAATAGAAACAATTTTGGGAACATACCTCAATGTTTCTGCTGACTAAGAGCTTTGTTCTAAGATAAAACAAATTTCAGTAAGCATTTCTGAATCGATATGCATATATATATATATATATATATATATATATATATATATATATATATATATATGTACGAGGCGATTAAAAAGTAATTCCCAATTTTATGTATGATTGGCCAGACAGGAGACCTGACTTAACAACCTGTGACTTTGAGGTTGATTAAAGATGCAAATCTACTATATCAAACCAAGACTTTGGAAGAACTTGGAGGGTGAATACAAGACGTTAAGTCTTCCATACCACAAAAGTTCCTGGGGAAATGAGTTGATGCGATTCCTGGGCGGCTCAAGAAGGTGATAGCGAAGCCTGGTGGCCATATCGAAGTTTAAATAAAATGCTTTCCTCTCGTATCCATTTCTTCTAAAAATTATAGTTAATAAATTAGAAATATTTACTTTTACTCAAATAGTTACTTTTACTCACCCTGTATATATATATATATATATATATATATATATATATATATATATATATATATATATATATATATATATTTGAATTTGTTGGTTTGATGAATTGATCGTGATTACGATTCCAATGTAATAAATTATAACCATGGAATATTAGTCTTTGAGCCTTTTGTATTATATTCTTACTCTGTCCTGGACATTGAATTCTACCTGGATTTTATCCTCTTGAGTATTTATGATATATATATATATATATATATATATATATATATATATATTGACCACTAATGTTATCAATGTATATATATATATATATATATATATATATATATATATATGTATGTATGTATATCTATGCATGTACGTTTTAATATATATAGTACTTGGATGTAATTTCACGAAAATCGGAAATTTTGCATAAAAGAAGGATTGCTACCCAAATATAAATATGTGTGTGTGTGTGCATATATATAGATATAGATATAGAAATATGTATAGAGTGAGAGAGAGAGAAAGAGAGAGAAAGAGAAAAGTGGGCATTGAAGTCAACACCCAGAAGCGACAGTCTGTTTCATAGTAAACACAAAAGTTAGGCTTGACGATTTCATTTAGCATAAAACAGACTGTTGCCTCAGGTTGTTGACATCAATATCCGCTTTCATATCTATATAGACTCTACCCTGATATTGAGCACTTTCACTCATAAATATAACATACCTTAAAACCATATTCTATCATTTATATATATATATATATATATATATATATATATATATATATATACTTAAAGTGGTCTGTTTTTTCATTAAATATTAGCTCTGGATTCACATTGAGCTCTCAGAATTTCATCCTCCTTGGAATTACCCATTCGGTTTACCAAGTTCTTCGTAACTTAACTATATATATATATATATATATATATATATATATATATATATATATATATATATATAAAACCAATGATATATATATATATATAACAAATTTATTTTCTACCTCTATCTATCTTTTTTCTCTCTGTGATTTTGTGAGAATATTATTGCTTTTTTTAGCCCTGAAGGTTGAATAGATTCAATTAAATTAAAATACCATTGACTATGGATGATTGGTATTTATGTCATTGTAATTCTCAACTAATAATGGGAAGCTTTTCTTCCGCGTTTAATAAGACACGCTTTTCTGACAAACTCGTTTTCAACTGCATTGTCTTCATCACGTTAACCATCACATAATTGCAAACGTGCCTGCCTAGGGGATGTTACCATGCCTACGAGGATTTAAATGCGCATACGATTCCTACCCCTTTAATATCGTCAGTCAGTCTTTCTCACACTTTTATAGTGAAGCGATGTTCTCAGTGCCAGTGATTTTAGCAGCCCATCGATCAAGTCATATCTCCGATCACGCCGTTCCACTTTGCACTTTTTGATGGGGCTTTATTGTTGCTTTTATATCAGCTTTTTATTTTTATTTTGTTTTATTCTGGCTATTAATGCTTTCTTGTCTGCAGATGACGTTAGGTTTATGCACGTGCATAAATAAAAACAAATTGAAATTTCATGTGAAGTGATCTTGTTGAAATAAAAAAGGACTACCTAACATTTAGATACGAGAAAACGGATTGACAATTACTGATAATACATTTACAGTATGATGACTAGTTGGTTGTTTGATTTTGCTTAGTGGCATATCAACCGCTGTGGATTGTTTAGTGTCAAGATCTAAATATGATGTATGTAATTTTATGCTTTCAACTACAGATAATTTGTACACAATTTTATGCTTTCGAAGTAAAGGTATGATTTTTTTTTAAATATATTTTGTACATTTTTAAATGTATGGTTTAGTAAATTTACTTTAATTTATATATATATATATATATATATATATATATATATATATATATATATATATATATATATATGTTGTGGTAGGATCCACCTAATTTGCATAGTGGAGTACCGACCATATAAATATGGTTGGTACCGGGAAGACAAAAAGGAGGAATCAAGAGATTCAATCCAGAAACTCTGCTCGACTGCGACTAAGTCAACACATTCTCCAGGAACGGTCTTTCCAAGAATATACGAAAGACTATATGTAAATATTGTGTACACTTTCTTGTTTCAATACATTTTGTTCTAAGTACATTTTGTGTTGTATTATTATTCCATGCATTAGTCAAGTTTCAACAATATATATATATATATATATATATATATATATATATATATATATATATATATATATATATAGTGTTGCATTGATTGTCATTTTGCTATAAAAATGTTATTGTTGGTCATTTTATTATAAAAATGTACCGTTCACTTTTTATTGGGAGTTCATTATTTTCCTATAGCTGAAACCCTAACAGGTGCTACCACCCTGGGTCAAAGTGAATCTGAGAGCAAAAGGTAGCTCCATTAGAGGTCTTGCTGACGAATGTAGTTAAGATGACTGGACGAAAACAGTATAAAACTTTATCGCAACACTCATAAACATACTGATTCGATATACACATACGTAGGAACGCACAAGAGACAGACACACACAGAGACAGACACATACAGAGACAGACACACACACACACATGATAATATGCTGATAATACCATGGACTGAACATGTGAGCAATGAGGAAGTTTTAGAGAAGATGGAAACAAAAAGAGCATTTATATTTCACAGAAAGAAAGAGACAGTTGACATTTCTAGGCAAATAATCTAGGAAAAGAGGCTTGGAAAATTTAATACACGCAGGAAATATTGAAGGTAAGAGGCACAGAAGAAATCAGCGCATTATCTACCTAATGAACTTGTTTAAATGGTTGTCAGGCCAGGCATTTGGTGATATACAGGAAAGACAATGGAGAAAAATTGTAAAGAAACATGATTGCACACGTCCTGAAGGGACACGGCAGATAGAAGTGTGTGTGTGTGTGTGTGTGTGTGAGAGAGAGAGAGAGAGAGAAAGAGAGAGAGAGAAAGGGAGAGAAAGAGAGAGAGAGAAAGGGAGAGAAAGAGTGAGAAAGGGAGGAAGGGAGGAAGAGAGAGAGAAAGTGAGAAAGAGAGAGAAAGGGAGAAAGAGAGAGAAAGGCAGAAAGAGAGAGAGAAAGGGAGAAAGAGAGAGCGAAAGGGAGAAAGAGAGAGAAAGGGAGAAAGAGAGAGAGAGAAAGGGAGAAAGAGAGATTTGTAAATGCTAACAAAATTACACAGATAATTTGACTGTGATTCTGGTTCACAGAAATATATGTGTATTCTAATATCGATTCGCTTACTTTGTAACATAGACGTTACATAATCTTCCTGAATTACAGTAAAAGAAAAAAAGCACAT